GCATTACGCCTCCACCTGCTCTGAAATTCATCCATCCAAGTCTGGGACGGTAAACTTTAGAGTGCAAGTCACGGCGGATATGCTGAGCCCTTGAGACGACAATGTCTCCGTGAGAATTTCCCTTACAGCTCCTTTTCTTGATTTTTTTACCACTTGTATTTTTTTGATGGATTACGGGTTTTCTAAGGCGGGGCTACTGGATAGAAGAGGGCTTTTGTGGGGCAGATAATGATGGTTCGTGAGCTCCGAGATAAACGCGCTCTGAGTGATGCCTCCAGAGGTATCCTATTATCCTTTTTTCATCGGTATCATTAAAGAAATTGTACGGTAGAACATATGATTAACTTGTATTTATGTATGCATTTTGTGACGAATGAATTGAACTGAGCAAGGGGCTTAATGAGGTTTTTTGAACCATTCCCCATCATAATCAAATGAGAGCTTACCTGAAATCGTGCTATCACCATGCCAATTTAGGTCCTAATCCCAGCAGCTCGGCGGACGAGGCTTTTCTGGTGAAAATTCCTTCAACGATATTATTGCCCCCTTCCATTGTTCCTCTTTGATAACCCACCTGCCTTCAGTAGGCAGAAGCCGAATGGGGGACGTAGAGGAGTCCCATACAACGCCCCCCCCCCCCCCCCCCCCACTCAGAACTTCCCACGCTCACAAACTCTTCTCGTTCAATACATCTCTCTCTCCTCATTGCCCCTCAATCTTCTAAATGTGGATTAGGATTATCCGTTATTATCTGCCAAAGCTATTCGTTATCAGTAGACAGTTCCTCATCTTCAGTGCCCCGTGTACTCTAGGTGCTGCGGCTGTCATTCTAGCGACCATTTTTTATTTACATTATTTACCTTTTATCACAGCGTCTTGTCTTCCATAATCCGTTTATCTTTTCTTCTATATTTATTCCAACAATATATTATAAAATTCTCGATTGATGGGAAGAAGGAGCCTGTTTGTATGAGCCTTAAGTTACTATCTTGAGAAACCTTTTTTTTTTGAAGATGTATTCTCCGAAAACGCAGGAGCTATTTTAGTAAGGACTCTAGTGAATAAAATGATTCATGTGTTTTGTAATATCATGATTGTGTTTATACTTTATTTTACTTGTGCAGAAAGCAGGAAATCAATTCTTTATAAAATATATTCCTTCTATTGCAAATAAGGCATTGCAAGACCCTGTCCGATTAACCGTAAAAGAGTTATTATACATTTAATGCTAAGCATGAATTTCCCAATATAATAATACGTATATGTAAATTATATTTTCATTTGTTATGGTTAATAATATTCATAATATGCTAAATAATAATAATAGAACATATTCATGTAATAATATATCTAAAACAACACTTTCATTCAAGAAGTCATATATTCGGTGAAAGAAAGAAGGCTGAAGTGCCTCTGCAAACAGTTGTTTATAGCCTGCACGAATTTCTCAATTATCCCCCTAAAATAGTCAAATAGGTTACTGTATAGATAAAGATAAATAAATAAACAAATAGATAGTATATGTGTATATGTGGATAAAGAAATAAATAAGTGAATATATCAGGGAAAAGGAGGTGCGATGCAATGTCTTCAGTGAGAACCAAACTTCCATGGTTTTTATGGCTTTCTAAACCTTGTCATAGCCATGGCGGGGAGTGCATTACGCTATGGTAAAAAATAAATAATTACCTAAATAAGTAAAAAGACAAGTTATAGAGCTACTCCGAAGGCTAGCTTGCTCACTGGCTTCAATAGACCTAATTTCACCTCAGCAGGCCTTTCAGTCTCTTCTCTAGACAGGCATCTACTCTCTTTTTTTTCATCATAAATACTTTCGATCCATGCAGTAGTTTTTTTTTTGTTGGGAGCTTCATATCTGCTCCTCTCTGTTCCTGGAATTCCATACGCTACTGAGAGTTTTCTATTCTTCACCTATTTGAGGAACAGATTGATTGAACCTTCCACCCAGATGCAGTAGTTACCGCTAATGTCATAAAATGAATTCCGAGATTTTTTCATGCTGGATTGTTTTCCAATATTTTTTTTTATCAATTTCTTCTTTATATCGAAATTTTGGAACCATGATGCATAAATGTGACGTACAAAAGCAGAAGATGCCATTCAATTAATTGAATCGATATTAATAATTATAGGAGTCGACATTAAGTAGTAAATGAAAATCAACAGCATATGTAGATAAGGGTAAGCCGGCATAAACAATAATTGTAATTGGAAGGATGAAGTTTTGGTGTTAATAAGTCACGTTTTCGTTGTGCCACGCATTCGATCTATGTTCAGACTGTGGCGTCACTTTAGCAACAGGTACTATAGAATAATAAAGTTTAGTAGTTAAATGGCATCGCCTTGCTCTGCAAAATATATTTTGGCAGAATTTGGGCTTGAAATTCGGTATATTACTTTATAACCCAAAAAGAAAAGAGTCATAAGCGGCTAGGATATCACTCAGACCCGTGGTTCTCCCTGATATATCAATGGGTGAGAAGGGTAATACAGTCAGAAGCAGCCCTAAATGGTCTCGGAAATCCCACTCGATATGCTTCCTTCTGACTTCAAAGAACATGTCCTTTGAATGGGATTTTTGCAAGCACAAAAAGCAACTATTCGAGTACAACCAGGTGAAATTCGAAGTAACGAGTTATCGATGGAAGTTATTTGTCGTCATTCTATCATAACCTGTTTGCCAAACATTCGAGAGACTCCTTCAAGTAAGCTTCTATTTATTCGTCTAGTAATAAGATTTAAAGAATTTTTGCTGAAAAGTTTGATCAATTTTTATAATTTTTGTTTTGATTCTATGATTTTCAGTTTTTTTTTCGCCGATATCCTATCCAATAACTAAGTTGAGAACTATCCTATTCACTGCCAGTGTCCAATTCAATATACAAAATTGAGTGTTATCCTCTTTACTGAGAAGTAGGATGACAGCGTTGAAATCCAATCAGGATTTTTATGTAGTAGGACTCTGTGAATGTAATTTCCATGTAAACTTTTCTTCGCCCTCGAACCTGAACTTCGTTCAATCAGGTCCACTCAAGCTCAGAATTCTAATTGACATAAGCTGAACCAAGTTCAGTCAGATGCATGCAAAGGGTTTTTTTCCGATTTATGGCTATCCTTGGCTTTCCGACTATCAGTTTTGCCCCATTCGCCGAAAGTGGAGAAAGCTAAGGGACTTCAATTATTACGGGCCATTTGAACCGTCCATACTTCAGTAATTGTCGTTCTATGAACTTCTTTTATTATATCATAAAGTCTCTCATATTTGATAACATCGAACCCATTTGAATCCTTTCCGGCAGCATAACGTACGAACTGGAAGTTGTTTGACCGTCTTCATTTGAATTCGTCTAGAAGTTAAGCATATACGTCCAAATACATTCCAACAGATCTGTGAAACTGAATGAAAATTAGATGCATGACAGATAATGAGCAGAAATCCTTTCATCTTTTATCCTATCATTTTCAATGAATGCATTATGTTGTTTAAGCAGTAACGTTATCCTACCCTCGATTAAAAATGTCATATTGTGAATATCTTGATGTGGGAGTAGTACCTAAGCAAAAGATTTCCGCTGTTTCCTTTTGACTTCACCCATGAATAGCTTGACTAAATAACATTCGCTTGGCTTTCATTTTTTTGTTGTCACAAAAGTCAGGCATTTTTGTAAAGGGGTGTGGCCAAACTCCATTATGGACAGAGTGTGTTTGGCATTTTTGGGGAATATGTCAACAATTCGCTCCAACAGCTTTTGTTTTTCGTGCAAATCTCGCAAGCATAGGAGTATTTTTATGCCGTAAGCACTTCAGCAGCAGCAGAAAAGCGAATCAGAGATTTTTCTCTATTTTGGGCACAAGATGGTTTCTTCTGAAGTTCCTTCTCTGGTATTCATATTTTCTCAAACATTACTGTCGCACATTTGTTTACAAATATGAATCTTGTTGGGAACTCTAAATTTTATTTATGGTGATATGTTATAAAAACGATTAAAAAACTCAACAGAAACCATTAAAAATCAAAGAATAATGGTGATTAAATGAACAATGCTAAATTCTCACCTCCCTTCTACGCTAGCCATGGTTATTTTTCGTTAGCAATCCCTCTGTCCACTTTTATCGGCATTGGTATGTTCAACCGGTTTGGTTCTGGAATAATCGTACTAGATAAGTTCATGTTGACAGTAATGGCAATGGTAATAGTAAGGAAAATATAATGATAGGACAAAGAATTAAGTCTTTTGTTGATAGTCCATTTGCTCCAAGAAATGCGCCCTGCATTTGACCTCCATTCAAAATCGTAGTGGCGTATTGTATGCGTAGTGGCCAATAACTTGCGGCGGCCAGCCGATGTGAGAGTCAGTTCTTTTCATACTCCTGGACGAGTCTGGTACCAATTATCCGATCGCGGAGAGATGGAAGGCTTAGTTGACCTAAGCGGATACGGATCCGGGATTTGGACCCGTGACCATGCGAATGTGATAAAGCGCCACTTCTACCTACACCACCTCCGCTCAACAAAAATATTTCAGTAATGGTAATAATTATGCAATTTTGATAACTGCAATACATAATAAGCCAATCGTATGATATAACCGTACTGTCACAAATTTCAACACTATTATGATATTTAGTTGCTCCTTGTTTTGTGGCGTGATTGTCTCACTAGCTGATTGTGTGATTGGGGTGTGAGTACTGTACGTACCGTAATCGAAACCCTTTCGTGTTTTTCCACTGCCTTTCTGAATTGGCCTTTTGTTATCATGTTTTCGCCATCTCCTTCCTTATCTTCTTTATCGATTGGGACCATTTCCAGGTTTATTTGTATTCATCTTCATTGATTAGAGCGTTTTCCGAATCTTTGGTTTAAAGCTATTTTTATGGTTTTCGAATTTAGTTGTAAAAGATTCCTTTCACTTAAAATAATCATTCTCATCAATTCGATGCCTTTTAGTTTCAGATTAGTATCTATGTGATCGACACTAATGTTCACCTTGATTCTGCCATTTCTGTTGCATTTTACACGGTCCGAAGGTTTCGGGTGAGCTTTCTTTCTTTGTATTTATATTGTTGTCGACTTTTTCTTTGGTACTGTTCTGACTTTCACATAATTTTTAGTTAGTTGTAGTTATCATTTATGTTCGCCAAGATTTTTTTCATCAGAAAATTTTCCCGACCCAACGGTCAGATTTTGCAACACTTGACTGAGTTGGAGGAACCGCCTCGCTCCAGTTTAGCAAGCATAAGCATAAAACATCAGTCTGGTGGTAAGAGAGGTCATCATTAGGCTCGATAGCTGGCCACAGGTACAAAGAATAAAGCTTCAGTGAAGCACATTCGCCTGTGCTTCTAGCAATTGTTCAATACTTCACAGACTTCATTCTCAAAAATTTGTGTCCACGATTGTATCTGCCAGCAAATGCTGTTGGTTCAGGGGGAATGTGAACGTGGTTCAAACTACGACCATTTCCAAAAAACCGGATCTATTTTCACACTAAGGAACGACTTCTAACGCATTTTTGTAGTCGGCGAATTCTGTAATAGGCATTGGGGTTTAAAAGCAGGAAAATTCGGTCCTTCTTGAAGCGCACCCGGTGAGGGAACGAAAATTTCCAGGCTGGTGCTTGGTCGGAATGAAGGAAGTACACCTGGCCTTAGTAGGCCTAAAAAGGCAGTCCAAAAAGAGCTAAATTAAATGTCGGCTATTCTTGGTAGCTCATTCTGTGGACCAAATTTGCATTGAGTGTTCTTTGGAGCTAAACGTAAGTTGGGTTTTCACGGATTTTCACCTGCCTGAGCACAATGGGTAATCGACTCGACGTGATCATACCAAGCCCTATTGGACCTGAATTTCCGGTAAATCGCTTAATCCTGTAGATAAGCTTGTTCTTCTTTGTGAAGGTGACGTTATGTGAGAGTGATTGACTTCATTGGTTTCGCCGTACACCTGATGTTCCCTAAGAATGATGAAGGTATATGGGGCTCTGCTGATGACTATGACCGTGAAAGAACTCAAATAATACTAGCGCCGTCATTCTGTTATCAATTAATTACCTGAATTAGGTCGATTATTTGATTACCCGTGATAGGATTCGATCCGAAGAATTGTTGAGTTGGCAGTTCCTCTTGTGTCTTCCTCCTAGACCGAGATCATGCTTCATATGACTTCCTCTTAGCATTTGTTGTGACATTCCTATTCAGCGGACGGCTCAATTTAGCTTTTCAAGTGGCAAAGGTGACTTCAAAGCAATTTGGGGACCAAAAATCGTAGACGTCGTCGCGAACGTCGGCTGGCTAATTGTTGACTAGAAAAAGTCGTATGACTAAGGTGCTACTATAGAAGTAGTCCATGTGGAAATATAGTTGGGCCTATTCATGGCCAAATCCTTGAGCAGTAAGTTTCCCGTGCACTTTTGTTTGACAGCTTGACTATGACGTAGAAGTGCAAGAAAGCATGGCAAGCCATAAGTCGGTCACACGAAATGCAAATGCAATCCAATGGATAGAGGGATCTGCTTGCAATGGATAACTTAGGGGAGGGCTCTCTCATGGCTCGAGAGAGAGATTCTCAGAAAGGGAAGTGCATCACCTATTCTTTGTGACTCAAAATTTTCACGAATCACTTTTTCGTAGTGTTGATTGCTTCAAAAATTTGGCTGAATAGCCAGGAATGCATCATCTTTTCAAGAATGCGCCACGCATGCGACTTGTCCCTTCAGTTGGACTTTGCAGCTTTCCGGATCAACTTGGACTCGCCTTAGTGGTTCTATTAGTAAAACGAACTTCATTAGACGACGGCTGAAAGGGATGAAGCCGCTTGGTTTGGGATGGTCTGCAATAGCGGATGGTAAACGTTCCATCGCGCTACTCAGTGTGTTCCAAAATTATGGGCCAATTTCATAGAAATATATTTGAAGCTTCTCAGCTGTGAAAGTCGTTGAAATTTCTACGAACGTTAGCTAACACCATTTGCTACAACACGCTACGATCACATATCAAAATCCCCCAATTAGCGCGGATAGAGGCCCAAAGTTTGCTCTCGACCTGATCGCATGTGGCACGCAGGTATCCCTCTCCATTTTTTCCCAGCCGTTCTTCAGTCCTGCTTTCTGTGACTCCAAAGTGGGGCTGCAAGCTCGACAGGTCCTCTTCTAATCAGGAATCATATGGGGGAGGCAAGTGAGTTAAGTTCTGGAAAATAGGATGGCCATTACTTTTCACTGGTGTAGGCAGCTGTCGTCGGCACCACTCTCGGGCAGGCCTGGCTCTGTGGGCANAAGTAACGTTCTGCTGAAAGGACTGCGGTCGATTTCGAGAGTATTGATGGGCTTAATAAAACCCTTATCTGACTACGTTTCCGTATTACAATCGGTACATTCACCATACAAAAAATGATTAAACTGAACTCGTTGTTTGTGATGGTAAATTAAGTTTCCAGTTAATAAGATCTCAAGTGGAAGTCCAATGCATGGCGCAACCGGAGAAATTAATTCATCAGCGTCGAATTCAATTGTTCTTCTAAGGATTAGTACGTAAAGTCAATTGTAGCTCGATTACAGTTACGAGAAGCTATTGGATGAGCAGAAAATTATCAAACATCTATTGGAAAGTCCTCATAGCGATTACGATTGGCGAGTTCGTCCCCGTGGTCGTCTGGGTCCCGCTGACGACGACGATTACGATAGTGAACCAGTATTCATTACAGTCAACATGTACTTAAGGTGAGTGAATGTCTTGTTATCGCTTCCGCTTCTATTCAATGGCATGATTTTTCCTTTCCATCCACTTTGGTTTCATATGAACTTTTCGAGCTTCGAATCATGAGGAACATCAAATTACCTACGTGCTTTCACCCAAAAGTGCAACTCGTTAGGGAAATATCTCGAATTTTCATCCGATACAAATTTTAAGTGGTTACTCTTGATCTGATTTGCCTAGGCAGACGAAGTATGTCAACAGAACGAATATCTTGAAACTTCCCCAAAGTAAACAGCAAAGTTTGGACGAGTTATGCTTACAGTAACTGACCTCCCACAAGAACTAGGACAAGTATTTTTTCTTACGAGATCGTTCCCCCCTCCCCCCAACCTCTAGATTGAATCGAGCAGATGTGCAAGAAACACTGGGCAACATCAATGTCAGTAGGGGGTCCCTAGGCTAACGTCACATCGGACTGCGCCACGAATTCGGTTCTCGACTGGAATGATATGGGCGTTTGAATAGATCTATATATGTAACGACCATACCTCAATATTCTCATCTTTTCATGAACATTTCCAGCTCCTCAATGTTAAGCGCCCAGGCGGCTTCTGATTTGAGCGTCCTAGAGATTTAAGAATTGCATATGAACTCTTAACATGGCTAATATTCAGAATCAATTCTTATAATATAATTTTAGGAGTATTTCAAAAGTCGATGATGTTAATATGGAGTATTCGTTGCACTTCACATTTCGAGAAGAATGGATTGACGAGAGGCTATATTTCAATAGCCCTACGTTGAAACATATCGTGCTGTCACCTGGACAACGAATTTGGGTGGGTCGGCGTTTTATAGTTTCTGCGGTATGAAAGGAATTTGTGTGACTCTTTTCTCATTCACTCTTATCTCGCTAACAATGAAAAGCTTGAAAAGGAGGACTACTCGAATTTGACAAAAAGTTGCTCTGATTAGGATTACTGGATGGTAAGTCATGATAACTAGTTGTAAACGGTTTCAGGTGCCCGACACATTCTTCCAGAACGAGAAAGATGGCAAGAAACATGACATCGATACTCCGAACATTCTAATTCGGATACATAACGGTACAGGAAAGATCCTGTATTCGTGTCGGCTTACTCTGACCCTGAGCTGTCCAATGAGGTAGGGAAATTTGAGTAATAATTGTTGATGTACCTTTTTATGATTTCGAGTGATCATTTTTTTCGATAGAGCCGAGTTTTTTTCTTGTCAAGATTTTCTCTAAGAATAAATAGTCATTTGAGGATTGCAATGAACTGGTTTACCAATTATGTCGCCTAGTGCCTTCAAGTCAAACAGGGCTTCGAGTTTTAGGCAGTTTGACATGAAGCAAGTAAAATGTTCTGGTTGATTAGGATAGGATTTCGCCCTGCAGTTCGTTCCCTCAGGTTTCCATTGTTGGGCAAGAGGGAAGGCTTGAGTCAGGCTAAACTATACAGGAGAAAATTTTGGGAAACAAGGGGGCTCATCACGGAATACGAGTCACTTGTTCGGTGGAGTTGTTTTGATCCCTCGATCATGAGCATGATAACGGTACCATTTGGCATTAAATCACCCCTGCGCCTGTCCCTTTGAGGCTGTACGGACAAAAATATTAATTTGACTCATAAACGATAATCTTTTCGATTCTGATGATAATCTCAGAAGTCTGTCTAGGATTAATGTCTTGCGATTTCCTTGATTTAAAATGATTTTGGTAAGCGAAAACTTAGAATCCAGATTGATTTCCCGAGTAAACTTCTTGAAAAAGGGCGTTTTCTTAGCTTCCAACGGGCCATCTCACCTGACTACCCTAACGGAAAGGCCACCATACAATTTATAATAACGAATTTTTTAGCATAACAAGTATCAGATCTTTCTATATGGGCATCTGGACTATTTCCTGCGCAATCCAAATGAAAATAGAATTTTCAGTATTGAGTATTTTTCTTTTTGCAGGTTGGCCGATTATCCGCTTGACGTACAGACATGTGTAGTGGATTTTGCTTCATACGCCTATACTACAAAAGACATCGGTAAGGCTTTGAAGGACTTCAAATTATCACTACCAGATAATGTATCGATTCATTTTATTGATTTTTTCAAGAATATGGATGGAAAGAGGAAAAACCGATCCAGATCAAAGATGGCCTTCGACAATCATTGCCTTCGTTTTTGCTCAGTAATGTGAAAACCGGTAATTGTACGTCAGTTACCAACACGGGTAAGTGTGACCGAATTTTATTTACTTATTTATTTATTTATTTACTCGATATATTGTATAATGCAACAGCAGAAATAAAAATTAGTAGCATGTTTATAACATCAGTAATCGACGTTTTCGGAATTAATAAAGCTCGAAGGTAACCAGAAGCATCACGAGCGCTGTCGTGCTGAACCTGCGCGCGTCAGAGACTGTTTCTCTCGTGGGTTCGCGGATATTAGGGGT